TATATGTATGCGGAGAAATTTGGCATTAAGTATATGCAAAAAAAATATGCAAGAAATATATGCAAAATATGCAAGAAATATATGCAAAATATGCAAGAAAAATTACCTTTATGCAACTAGTGAGTAAAGTGTATCTTTTTTTTTACGAGAAGGAAAATTCGCAGAGTAAAAAAAAGCCTCTTTACTCACGAGTCGCATACAAAATTTTTTTCGCGTTCGTAACAAAACTCAACACCTACCATCTTCAAAAACTTTTTATTTTGGAACATAGATATTAAATGTAGCCGTATTTGCCGTCTTGACAATTTTTTCGGGGATGCACGAGAAATCTTCATCGCTGCCCGATTCCATTGTCCGAGCACACAAATTACCACAACACACCGAGAAAATTAATACAAACCACTTGTGGTTATGAATTATCATAGCAACAGCAGGCTTCTATGTTTTACCGTTAAAAAATGACACGCTACTATACTTTTTTTCACTCAAATGCGTCATAAAATGAAACGCTATGACACTTTTTTTTACGCTTCTAGTGCGATGAAATAAACGTATCTTTTATAAACAAAAATTAATAAAAAATGCCCGATCCGATTTGTCGCGAAATGTTCCGTCGCACCGTCAAGTTCGGCAATCGCATCTTTGCATTAACCATGCAAAATCCAAATGTCAAAATGAAATTAGAAATTATTCTCAGAAATCAACGAACAACTCAAACTGAATTATTTTATCCAGTATGATGATTATTGTATGACAAATTAAGCAGAATAAATGCACAAATTGATGCATTCATTCGTCATAGTGCGCGACCCCGTCAAACGAGCCATCACGAAATACACTCAGGCCGCATCCAAAAAGCCCGAGATGAAGACTTCGAGCAGCTGGTCTTCCTCAAAACCCCATCGGCAGCATTGTGACATGTCCTGGGAGTCCGTCAAGCTAGGAATATAAGATTGTAAATATCACTGAACGACTCAAATTGAATTATTTTATCCAATATGACGATTATTGTAGGTCAATTTAAACGGAATAAATGTACAAACTACATAAAATATTTTACTCATTAGGTTATGCTATGTTCTACTGCGATTAGATGAAAAATCGAGGGCCTGCTTGTTCTTCAACCGTTAATTTATAAACTTCACACTTTTTCTTCGAATCACTAAAGACTGGAAGTCAATTGATTTTACATTTGTTAAGCAGGGATGGAATTTTTGCCGCCTGGAAGCATGTTCATTACAAGAAATTTTTTAGAGAGAAATGTAGAACATTGTTTCATCGACATTTTAAAATATTTTTCTCTATTAGGAATGTGTTTTGGGATTCAGAAACTTTTGTATTACTGTTTTATTTGTTTCTTGTGTTAACAACAACAAAAATAAAATTAATATTTCACAAAACAAAGTTACATTTATTTTCAAAGGTGATAAAAATTAAATAAAATCAGGTAGGCACGACGTTTTCTAGGGATCTTAAACAGATGGGATAGAAGACTAAAAATTGAACCCTGAGGACTACTTGTCACGTATGGAGTTTTACGAAGGAACGTTTGAGAGAATCTAGGCTGATGGAGAGTTTTTGAGGAACATTTGTTTTACTGACGAATGTTCATTTGGTCTTAAGGGAAGTTATAATCGTCAGAACGATCAAATTTGAGCAATACACAACCCTCACGTGGTCCATGACCATCGTTATCAATGGCGTGCAACTGTCAATGTATGACTGGGGCTTCTAGGACATCATGTCATTGCACCTTTTTTCATCGAATCTGGATTGAATGCTCAGAAGTAGGACAATCTGCTAGTTCAGCAAATACTTCCTGGGACTCGAAGGGTGCGGCATCTGCAGCGGGTCTTTTACATGCAGGACCAAATCTCCAGCCATACAGCTCGCAGAAATGTTGTTTATTTGAACCAGCATTTTCCCGCAATGTTGGAATTGGCCTGTGCATTCACCGGATCTAAACCCCTGGGAATTTTTTCTTTGGAGATTTCTTCACGACCATCTGTATTCGAACAATACCAGGTATACAAACAGACACGCGCTGAAACAAGCAATCCAGCAATATTGTCTTCAGATTTCAACTCAAATGCTGATCAACACACGTAGGAGTTCTGAAGATCGGCTTACTTACTGTACAGCTGCTGAGAGCAGTCTTTTTGAGCAATTCTTGAAAATAGTGCAACACTTCTCCAGATTCGTACAACATTTCATTACTTCAGTCATCAACAATTGTTAAGTTTTGTTACTTGTAGTTATCTAAATGGTTCATTAAAAGGTTCTCTTCAAAAGCGCCAGCTGTTTTGATGGTAAATCTTATCATCACACAATAAGAAAAGCGGGCCCTCGCTTTTTCATCTAATCGCAGTAGAACATGGCATTTTAATGAGATTTTAGTAATAAAAATTCGACCAGCACCAGAAACATAACCTAATACAATATTTTGTGCAGTTTGTGCATTTATTCCGTGTAAACTGATCTACAATAATCGTCATATTGGATAAAGTAATTCAATTTGAGTCGTTCAGTGATTACTGAGTGAGGCAGCGCGAGTACATTTCTAGCTTGACAGTCTCCCAGTACATGTCACAATGCTGCCGATGGGGTTTTAAGGAAGACCAGCTGTTCGAAGTCTTCATCTCGGGCTTTTTGGATACGGTCTGAGTGCAGTTCGAGATGGCTCGTTTGACGGGGTCGCGCACTATGACGAATGAATGGATCAATTTGTGCATTTATTCCGTTTAATTTGTAATACAATAATCATCACACTGGATAAAATAATTCAGTTTGAGTTGTTCGTTGATTTCTGAGAATAATTTCTAATTTTTGATTTGGTTAATGCAAAGACGCGATCGCCGAACTTCGGGCGCGAATTTCAAAATACGATTTTTAAAACCTTTTTACAGTGAATGAGCGCGATGCAACAATTTGAAAAAAATACTGGCCGATGGCCCTCTTCGACCTCCACAAAGGCATCACTTAATAACAGCTTTAAAATGAACTGGGGAGATATTATAAAATAAAAACCAATTTGCCATGTTAATTCCCTATGTCCAGACTTGGATGCGGCACCCTGTATATGCCCAATTAGTTTTAAAATTACTTGGGTCCAAATTAGGAGGTGGTTCAAATTACGCAGCTCTTCAATACTTCTCCAAATTTATACCTATGAGATCTTCTTCTAATGCGGTCGATATATTGTGATGGTAGAATAGTAACTTTAAAAGATGAATAGAAATTAAGATACTTGGATCTTAATTTTTCACAGGTAACTTCTAGGGAATCTTTTTTTAGATAGTTGATTAAATCGTCGCAAGTAGTCACAGGATCTAATCTAGATATAAAAGGAACGAAACCTTAGGCACAGACTTTATTCCCGTCAGTGATGGATCTGCGTAATTCTCAATTAGAGCAGGTTTTCTTTTTTGTTCTTTTTGCTCTCAAACCCACTCCAATTTTCTGTAGTGTTTTGGTCTCCGATTTCTCTTTATTTTCAGCTTCTGTACGTGTCATTTTGTTATTTTCCACATTTTGATTGGTCATTGAACTTACCTACTTTTTATTTCGCGTATCAGTTGGTTTATCAGCTGGTTCATCAGCTTGTTTGTCGGCGGCCACCAAGTCGTCTGCATTTTTGCCTGAGATCTGCAATTTCTTTTCTTGGTTTTCTTACCACTTTCTTTCTTCGAATTTGGTAGGTATTATAATCTTCTTTAGTTTTTGTAACTATGTAGATATTTTTGCCATTTTTAACTTTTGCTTCTGATCTCTTTTCTACTTCATTGTTCCATCATGAAATTTATTTGTATTCTGCCTCTTACACTGTCTAGCTCTTTTATATATAATCTTATTGAAAAGAAAAAGTTTGTTTATTTTGAACATCTTAGAACAGTGAAAAGTTTTGAAAAATCGAACCAGAAGACTCAAGCAATCATTCTTTCAATCATGGTGTTATTTTAATGATAGAAAGGGACAATAAACGTATATTTTCAAATAATTAAGTTGCTGTGTTACAAGTCGTACCTATTCATTTTAGCAGTTCCAGAGACAAATCTATGCTAGTACCGAAAAATATTAAATGGGACGACTTTGTAAGTAGTTTTCCTTTAAGAATGTAGCTATTTGCCAAACGAAATATTTTCATGTTTTGGCGTAGAACTGTTAACAAGAATGAATTAAAATATTTCGCAGAATACCAAACTGTTGATTCGCGGTTGTAAGAAATAACAGCAAAAACTTCTGAAAGAATTCACAGTTTATTCTCCACAAACAATAAAATAAAATTGAAAACCCTATATATTTACTTAGAAAAAATCGAGAACGACAAAAAATAATATTTCCAGAAACATGTGATTCCTGTAAACATATTTACGTCAAGGTTAATTAAAAATAATTGTGATTGCTAGTTATTTGTTTGTGATATATGTATAATCACTCATAATTACCTACGACAAAAACCCAAATTATAATGAAATTAAACTGAAATTTAACTTCATGGTTACCTACAGAATTGTAATCTTAAGGTACTACACAACACAAAAAATGCAGCACATTCGATCTGACTGGAAATGTAAATACGCTATTTTTATCTTCAGATTTTTACTTTTTCATTAAAATAATGCGAAATTTACAGCTGGGTTCCCCATAAATAAATATCAAATAATTTCTCAGTATTAAATAATTCAAAGAAATATTTTATAAAATTTAAATTCTTGTTTGATTGCTTTTTATTGTAGATCAAGAACTACTTACCTGACCTATCTTAAGTTAGTAATTTTATATATGCAAAACACGCATCTATGTTAAATGTTAATTAGATACAACCTCTTCTCGTCAAAAAAAAAACAACATTTAATTCTTCACTAAAAACTCTGTATTTCCGCAAAACACATACATAACTAATACAAAATTTACAAAAAAAACAGCTAAATAGTTGTAAACAAATCTGGCGAAAACCAGTTGACACACTGACTCAACGCATAATTAGCCGACGAAAATTCCTTAATTCCATTCATTGTAAGGTGGTTCCTTATCCTCATTGTGGCAACAAAACCATAAACCAACATTTGAGAGCAAGCAATTTAATCATTCGTTCTTAACAAACTTATTTAAAGCAGTCCTTTATCGCTAGCGATAACTAACGTAAAAATACTGATCTAATTCCACAATAATAAAAAATAGAATGATAAAGATAACCAAATGAAGTCCCCAAAACTGGTTTACTCTGTAAAGAAAAGTGTGCGTATTCGCCAGTGAAGTTACCGTTTAACGATGTCCTCCCCTTCTTTTTAACAGTAAGGTGTTGTCAAATATCATGTCAGTACGGTTTTTCACAACAGCGAAACCACATGTGTTGAAGTGAAAGTGTCTCGGTTTTAACAACATTTTTCCGTGTGAGTGTTTCCTGCGGCCGTTGTTGCGGTATGGTGAAAAAATTCCATGAAACAGGTCAGTTCAACATTTAATTTCGGCATTTCGGGAACTTAAGCCCGTTGCACACGGCCAGATCGGCGAAATTCATTAAATTAAAAAAAATAGAGATTTCTGACAATTTTGAGGATGAGAAAGTTATCTACATATAATCGTTTCTAGTCAATGAATCGAGCGACCTATGAAACTCAAGGTCATCTAATTGTGATGAATTACCAGTTGTTTTAGCACGGGGTGCCATTTATGGGTCAGCAAATTTTTTTAATAGAGCGATTTAAAATACTTAAAGATTAATTTTACTACAATACTTATTTATGAAGGCTCCACGTGGAACGAACATGATAAAAAAATATATTAACAATGGGAAGTGAATTCTTGAAAACGTATTAATTATCTATATTGTATTAGCACTTTACGTAATGATAAATTTTTCTTTGTAAAACCGACAGTAAAAACACAAGGTTATAAATTTATTTTCTTACCACAAAAACCGTATTAGTTAAAAAATTGTGGTTATGAATTAAATACTGCTGAATTTTATAATTTTTTTCCCAAAAACATTTTCTTTTACCAGGGTAATAAGATTTTAAATTATTTTAATACATAGAGTGGTTGTACTTTAACACCTGATATAAACCCTTATCATCAAAAAGAGTTAGAAGGGTTATTTTCCATTAATTAGCATGTCTACACAAGCTATACTCACAATGCAACAATAACATCAAACATTTGTTTAAATAGGAACAAGTTTTATTAAACAAGATCAATTTACCGCTTAAGTAAAATGTTTTTTTTTTTTTATTATGCTGACTAATTTTTGCAGCAGATAAGTTAACAATTCTAAAATCAAGAATAAAAAATAATAGGATTCCATTTATTTTTTCTGTGACGTCAGGTGATTCATCTATTCTCGCTAATTTAATAATCTTTCAGTAGATAAGAAAATTATTGACTCTACATGTGTCAAATTAGACACCTAGAGAAAAGTACAGTTCCTATAACACTTTTAGTGTCAGTTTAAACTGCAGACATCGAAACACTTGCGAATAGCTCGGAATAAATAGATAACATAATTCTAATCCTGAACATGAAGAACAATGATGTGTACTGATTTTATTTTAACTATTTTATTTTGAACTGTCATATAAATTAAGATTTATATGACACTGTTGACAAGATATGAATGTCGCTTCCAAACCACCAATTTTGAACGGCGTATTAAATACTTGTACTCCTCCAGAGTACAAAAAATATTTGTTTTATGTGAAAATTAGAAAATTTCACAATCAGTTTGAAGTGAGTTCAATTTCCACTCACTTCTTTTCCGATCAGATTAGGCATCCTATCACATTCTAAATACACCTTCCATTGACATATACCTAGTTGAACTTGAACGGAAAGGACCATGACCTTCGACATCCTGCAGTTTCGTTTTACAAGTTCAAAACGAAATTTAGTAGAAATAAACTGCAGACTGCAGGTGTTAGAAGAGTTTAGAGAAACCTATAATAGTACAAGGGACATCAATTCTGAATTTTTAATGACAGTGGGACTTTTTTAATAACCCACTTTAATGATATTCCTGTTGTAATTATGTCTGCGATGTTTCTGTTGATTGAGGTAATAATGAACCATGTTATATCGAGCAAACAACATAATTTGTAATCGGTTCATCCTTGGAATTGAATCCGTATATTTTCTTCGAAATCAGATGTTTGCCGCTGCGTCTAAAACTATGTCATGGAAAAGCGTTTAACATAATTAATACCGTGCGTTCATTACTTATTTACATGAGTGGGGGCTGTGGGCGTTAAATTGACAGATTCTGATTGTCTTTGCTACATTCAGCCGCGTTGCTGTTTGAAACGTCAAACTTTCGAATTTTTTGAAAATAAAAGTGCCAAATGGTTTTCTCTGTGGAACATAAAACATTCATGATTGAGTCCTGTTTCCGAAATGTAGTTGCCATTGAAGGCGAATGGCATTATAACAGTGCTCTTTTACAAGAATTCATGCCTTCACGAACTTTTATCAGCCTACTGCAGATGGTTTCTTGAACATCTCAATAATGATAACTTGCTGGATTTAACATTCATTTCTGATGAAGCTTGGTTTCATCTCTCCGGTACTGAGTTTGTGTCAATTTGAATCACAATTATGAGATTTTGTTTTGTACGTTATGATAACTCTCAAAATATGAGATTTTGGTGTGCTGAAAATCCTCATGTCTTTCGTGAAACACCGCTCCATCCTGTTAAAATTGGTGTATGTCTCGCAGACGTATCATTGGACCCAAATTCTTTAAGGAAACTGTAACAGCACAAATATATCGAAACGATATCCTAATTGCTTTTGTTCAAGCGTTACAGGTTGATGAACTCCACGACGGATGTTTTCAACATGACCGTGCCATGGCACCATACAACAATAGACAATTTGAATTTTTTTACGTGAATTTTTTGATGATAAGAGTGATAATTTTACATTCAGGTCCTGAGTACCCCCCAAGCTCACCAGATTTAACCCCTCTGGATTACTTCCTGTTCGATCATCTAAAAAACTCTTTTTAAAACTCCCAATCACACCATAGAATTACCGAAAAGTGTGCTCTCATTACTCCTGTTGTGTTTGATAACATCAAAAGACGTGTCAATTTATGTATACAGGAGAATGGATACCATTTCCAACAGTTTCTTTAACTTTGTTTTCGCCTTTTAAGTAAATTTATTCACAAATCTGGAGAAGTTATTTTCTTTCACTAGTTTTTCTAGTTTTCAACAAGCAAGAGCTAACCTTTGTTTGCAAATTGATTTATTTCGGTATCCAACCAACATCACACATGTGTTTGTTTAATTGCATAATCTGAAAGTATCCGAAACCGAGAGGTTATACGTTCAAAATCACACAGCGTTCTTTGATCTACTCGTAAATAATTAATGAACATGCGGTATTAATTGCCGATATTTTGTAAACCCAATATTTGAAATACACACCCACAAAGACAAAAACTAAAATCCTTATAAACTGACTTTTAACTTTGATTTAAATTTTACGTTAATTTATGATAAGGCTTGAACTGTATGCAAAATGCATATACCTTAAAATTCGGATATTCAGAAAAATAGTACATTGTTTTATTAGGATTAAAAGTGGTGTTTTTGTGGCGAGCAAAAATTTGAATTTGCAAGGGGTAGCGTAGCGGAGTCAAAAAACCCACTTTTAATTCGAATGATTGTTAGGATTTGGAGGAATTAAGAATAGACAATATTGAAAATGTTAAATCAGGTTTACTTGTAACGATTCCTCATACGACAACTAAAAAGCTAAGATCATTTACCGTTTGGGGGAAAAATATTTTAATATTTACCATAAATATATAGCTCTTCGACCAAAAAATTTTCATGAACGTCGATTTTTCGTTAAAAACCGAAGTGGAAAGTGTCAGCGACAAGTAGTTGGGATTCACAAAATTAGCGATGTTCCACGAGAAGTAGCTAAATTTTTAAAATTGAGAAATCCCGATGAATATAGCGGATTTTGATTACGTCGCCCGTCTGCCATTCTCCTTGTAGATGCTGGAGGTGACATTATATCTCTCAAGAGACAGGGAGGGTGGACATCGAATAGTGTAGCGGAGGGGTACATAGAGGAATCAGTGAAACACAAGGAAGATGTGGCGCGAAAAATTTTTCGGTTAGATGAAGCGAGTACGAGTGGAGTGATTCCCCAAAAACCACCGAAGAGCAATGAAGTAAATATAACCGATGACGTAACTGACAATGAAATGGCAGCGATATTGACAAACATTGTTAACACTGCTGTTACAAAGGATAATAGTGACGACAAATCGTTAATCGAATTTTCTGAAAGTTGTTCTAAATTTAAATTTAATATCAATTTTAAAATTTTGAAATTCCTTATTAATAAAATTATAAAGTATTAAAAACGACATTATTAATATTTTCAAAATTGACGAAAAAATATAGTTTGAGATTAATTATTATTTGTTTTTAATCCTAGCATTTAAAAGATTTTTAAATCCTAGGAGTACAAGTGAATATTGCCTTAGTAACGCAAGTTTTTTTCCTAATTACAAAAACGTTTAGTGTTGAAATTGTCATTAAAAGTGTCATGTTTTAAGACGGCTGAAGAAAAATAGTATATTGTTCCACTCGCCTTTGGGTCGTTCCGGAAACTCTCGTCCTCGTGGACGAGGTGATAGTGGGGAACTGTGGAGAAAAGGAAATATCGCGTTCTGATTGGACAAAATGCAGTAAACATTCAACATTTTCTCAATATGAGCATAAAAAAATATTTACTAGCCATATATCTTTTTTTAAACAATGTCCTTTAAAAAAATGCATATTTTTCAATCTCATTGTATATTTGCCGATTAGGTGCATATTTGCGCATATTTTTGTAAAATTGTACCTCTATTCAGCAAAACCAAGACATTTCGGTAATCTTTACCTTGAAAAACCATCCTAATCCGAACTGGAGACATTCCGTTTATTGGTATATTGAATAGGCCGCATCCGGCTTAAAATTATTTTAATTCTCCCTTATTTAATTCTTGAGGTAGCATCCTTCTAGCAATTACTCATCTTGTCATTTACCCGTTTCATTCTTAGTTTTGTCAGTCTTTATTTTGGTACTGTCGAATGAACTTCGAATCCCAAATGCCAAAAGTTTCTGCAAGTGTCCACGGCTGAATAAAAAAATATCCCCAACTACTATTAGATTAGTACAAGGTTTATTCATGAAGGTTTAACGAACTTTTTTCTGCCGGAATCAATTCCAGTTGAAAAAATCATATTGATGTCATCGGATGTTACTACATACTTGTACAAAACTTCATCCAACTTAAAAATATTTTTCATTTACCCGTTTCATTCTTAGTTTTGTCAGTCCTCATTTTGGTACTGACGAATGAACTTCGCGCCCAAAATGCCAAAAGTTTCTGCAAGCGTCCACGGCTAAATAAAAAAATATCCCCAACTAGTATTAGATTAGTGCAA